GCCGGTACCACGTAATGGTCTAATCTACCTAAAACCCCGTTTATATTGAGGAGTGGAGTTTGGTTACATCTGGCCGGTACCACGTAATGGTCTAATCTACCTAAAGGAGTTTGGTTACATCCGGCCGGTACCGCGTAATGGTATAATCTAAATAACCCAAGTTTTAACCATACCATACCGGTGCTCGCACAATAAATATCGAAATTTTATTTTATAGGCTACGCCTCGCTGGACAATACCGCTGAACCGTGCCATAACGACCCGGCATACCTCAGACGCACGGAGGTGCCCACATAGGAACCGGCCTAGTGTAAGCCCCCCATCGGAGAAAGTGTAAAAACTCCGGAAGGTGCTTTACGACTAACTATCTGCCCCTGGCTAAATCGCCAGCTATTCTATGGTAAACCCCTGCTTCACATAGTAACCGTTGTAACTCTGCACAAACGACCAGAAAGTCACACAACGATACGAGACAACTACAAGCTGGGACACCTGGAGGGGTTAGTCTCCAGGGACCCAATGCGGCTTTCTGGCTAGAGAGGCACGGGAGCAATGACGCCGGTGTGGTTGTGGCATGGACATCATGCTCGCACAGTTATTACTGGTACGGTCCTTAAGGCAAACTCGGCTAACCCTAACCCTACAAAAAGGACCAAAAAAAAGGGACGACCACAACAAAATTCTAACCCAGCCAACTCCGTGGTTGGCGATTCACCTCTTTCTTTTCAAAGCTTTCCTTCAAGGACAGCTTACACACTATCTATATAGATATACTATACACTGTCAAGTGTTAGCATGAGAAGACTGTTGCTGCAGCTTCTGCTACTGTCGGGAGTGTCTTTGGTCAGTGCCTTTTCTTCTGCATCGGCTCCACTGGCAGCCTCGTCATCGTCCACAGCTGCAACACTAACGAGGTCGCGGCACTTGTCGGCCACCAAATCGCCCGAAGAATCCACGGCATCCGCCCAATACCAAAGTGCCATGACTTCAATACTCGCGAAAGAATACACCGAAGATGATCTCAAAGACGCACTGCAGGGCTTGCTATCAGATAGTCTGGATCCAGAGTACGATGCTAGACATATTTTTGGCCACGGCGACCCAAACCACACCCTGAGCATGTTGCAAAAAATTACCGCAACTCGTATCAAGGATTATGTTCATATCATGGTACGTACATTTTCAATTTATTCAAAGATACGTTTCATTTCGCCAATTCTCAAAAACCTTGCCTGTCCTTCATGTTATCTCATTATTTTCATTATTCTCAATCATGCAGTCCAATTCAGAATCTCCTTCGGAAGAACAACTCCTCCAACAAGCACGAGATT